AAAAAAGTACACTTATTCCTACTATTTTCGTTACTAACCAATTCAGAAGCGGAGAGTCGAAAAAGTTAGTCTTTGGTAAAAACATCTAGATGAAAAGGCTGCTAAGCCAAAAACTGTGGCTACCAACCAGACACTGAATGAAGGTTATTAAAAATTCAGTAACAAAAGATTAGAATGGTTACCCTGGGTAATACAGCAAAAGGTGAAGAATCACCCACCAGCCCGCTGGTGAATGAAGCAGTTGGCGCTGAGATTGTGAATCCAAATTTCAAAAGTATAAATGCAACTACTTTATCTAGAAGTATATAGAACACCCAAAAATTTGGAGCCCAATATGCATGACAGAGTCCCCTACCAAAGGGAAACATGCGGTTTAGGACTTGATGTATCTGTAAATGTGTATAGTACACAGATTAGTTAGCAAAGTACATTGAGAACACATCTTTTTGAGTTATCATAACAGCTACATTCAAGTAAACTGTATACATATAGTGATCAAAACTTCATAATAAGTTTAAAGATGACATTTTTTTAGTTATGCAATAGGAATTACTTGTCCATAGTGCATGAATGGTCCAAAAGCTGCAGCAAAAACAGAAATGACCACGCTGCCCATCAATGCCAGTCTCCCAATCCCCTTAAACCACCCATCCCTGCAATAGTGCCTCAACAAATAGACAAAGTAAATGGGGGCAGCCACCGCAAATAAATGTTTAAGGCAAAGCAAAACTGCAAACAAGAACCCTCCCAGCAAGTCTCTTCCTTCCTCTAAAGCAGAAAGTGAAAGCAGAAGAATCCCCAAGATAAACCCATTGTACTGAAAATGCAAATGGTCTACGATGATTAATCCAGGCGACCAGAGAACCAACACCCAGATCAAGATCCGCTCTCTGAGCTCCAGTTTGCGGGACAGTCTGTAAATTGCGTATACTAGAACGACGTCGGATAGAGTGACGCTGAGTCTTTGGAAGAGAACAGTGGCTGTAGAGTTGTAATTGAGTCCGCCGTGGAGGTCAACCATTGTAGGGTCGATGATGGCGGCAAAGAACGAGAGGAAGTGCTCGAAATGGGCGAATAACGGCGGGTAATCGAGGGTCCAAGGACTAGTCTCGTCGGCATACCATTGAGACAGAGGAAGCGAGTGGGTAATGGCGAGCCAGTTGCGATGGACCTCAAAATCAGAGCTGTGGTAAGCTGGAATTAGGAGGATCTTGATAATGGCGGCGGCAAGGGAAAACCAGGCAATCTCAGAAACTACTGAATTGGAATTTCGGATCTGGAATGTCTGGTTGCCATCGCCTCCGTCATGGTGGTGTTGATTCCGGATGTTCATGGCGTTTAACCAGAGGGGAATCTCTGGCGGCCACAGCCGACCAGGGCGGGATTGAAAAGGAAAGACAAAATTACTGATTAAAATGAGCAAGACTGTTCGTATTTTGCTACGCTTTCTATTACTTACTTTTTGAGATAATTTCTCAAATGGACTAAAAATCAGTTAAAACTCCAAAGTAGGACATTAAGTTTTTTATTACCTAAATAGAATTTTTAATTATCGATCGGACAAAATTGCCCTTAATGAATTTAGCGCATGATCTTTAGACTTCCGGCTACTCTATTGCGGTGCCCTGCACCGATACCTTCATATTGCCGACACCACCACCCTCTGCGCAAGGCCTTCAGTGCACAGACCTCCATTGTCATTGGCTGATTGCCGCCACCTGGGTGACTGCTGCCACCTAGGTGAACGTCGTAGCTGTCTGGCATGAGTTGCGAGATAAGACCGCCATTGTATATCTCTTGTAAGATGGATTCCACTGCCCTCTTTTGTAAAAAAAAATGTCACATTTGTTCCCAAAATGTCATGGAGATGACATTTTCATATATAAAAACATGGCAGTCGTGGAGAATGTCAAGTTGGTGCCATTTTTACTCTTTATAAATGTCAAATAAAAACTGTCATCTTGGTAAATGTAATGTCAAAACAGTGACATTTTTTTCAAATGAGTGTTCAATAACATAGCAATTATGCCATTTTCAGGTCCAATTAGTGAGAAATAGTATGAACGATTTAAAGTGAATTAGATGGAATTTATAAAAAATGAAGAGAAATGACTTTCACAATTCAAAATTTTATTTAAAATTTGATTGATAAAAAACTAAAAATAATATTAAAATAATGTTGACATTTTGGAATAGAAAGATGACATTTACAGAAGGAGAAGAAGAAGAGCAAGAAGAAGAAGAACAAGAAGGAGAAGGAGATGGAGGAGGAGGAGGAGGAGCAGAAGAAGAAGGAGAAGGAGGAGGAGGAGGAGGAGGAGAAGGAGAAAATGGAGGAGAAGGAAAAGATGGAGGAGATGGAGATGGAGAAGGAGAAGAAGGAGAAGGAGAAGGAGGAGGAGGAGGAGAAGGAGAAGGAGAAGGAGAAGGAGAAGGAGAAGAAGAAGAAGAAGAAGAAGAAGAAGAAGAAGAAGAAGAAGACCTGATTTTGCTAGAGATGGCGTCCGGTGCCGAGCAGGCAGCTGCGATGATGGGCCAGCGTCGAGTTGCGAACTTGCGAACTTGCGATCGATGGAGGTTGAGCTGCGTCCATGACAGTTGAGCTGCGTCCTCTGGCGGTCGATGCAGAGGGATTTGGGAAAAAGGTGATTTAGGGATTAGGGGCAAAAAGGTAATCTGGAGTCCCATTTAGGAAATTTAAAACTTGAAGTCCTGTTTTGGAGTTTTAACCATGTTTTAGTCCCATTTAATATAATTTCTTTTACTTTTTTAGTAAGGGGTGTACTCCATTTTGGGTATCCCATTTGTACCACATTTTTTTGTTGTTCAAATGAGCTCATCATTTAAATGAATTGCTTCATTAATATGAATTGCTTCATTTAAGTCACAAAATAGAGTGGTACAAATGGGGGTACCAATAGTATTTTACTAAAGCACTCCGTAAAAATAGTAACAATATAGTTCTAATAGTACTCCGTAATGAAATAGTATCTCTGTCCCACTTATGGTTGGTCCAAACATTCGACTACCCGATTATCGAGGTGAGACCAAAAATGCATTTGAGGTCGACCCCCAACCGAGGTTGGTATGAAGTGAGACGTCATGCACAGGCTCAAAGTCAATTGACCGCTTCCTGAAAGTCAACTAGGCAAAGAAATCACCTTCACCAGATATATGGTTAATCGAGGTCACTCCCTCCTTGGTAAAGCACGTTGTGCCTGAGCTCAGGGCCTCCCCAACCACTTGTGGACTTATACAAATTCAGTAATCAAACATCGGGTGTTGTTACTGCCACATCACCAGCATAAGACTCGTACAAAAGCCATGTTTTGGTCGTTATTACACAGAATATTCCAAATGGCACACGTGTGGCATGCACATGCATTCTCGTACGCAAAGGATAATTCTGTTACGCACAATACCAATCAACCAGTTGTTCAGAATATCTCCCCAATCAACTTTACACGTGTCATCACACCATAGACTATTACATTTCTTCTTGTTAGCCAAGTTATACATGTGTCATCACCACAGTAGAATAACATCTTTTTACTTGTTAGCCAAGTATATTCTCCTTAGTATAAATATCACCTTGCAACATCCGGAAAGAGATTTGATCCTAGTTTCAATAAAAACTTCTTATTACTCTCCCGAATTTCTTACTCGGTCTTACTTGGCACTTTTCGATCTCTCTAATTTCCCGGATTTCACCTACCTCCAGGTGGGAACCCCATTAGTACTTTTATCAAAGAACATTATCATATTATTTTTATATTATAAATAAGTTTCAATAAGTATATATAGTTGGTCAAAGTTTTAAAGGAAAAAGGTCTAAAAGTGACACTAAGGCTTTTAATAAAGTTCAAATTGGACATAAACTTACAAGTGGACCAAATAAACACAAATCTAAACCTTTTGGTTCCATTTCAGCCACCTTTTAACTGCTCCCCTATATCCAACGCTGTCTAGACCACCACACGCTCTCAGGAAACCCCACTTACTCTAAATGCCCCGACCAGAAGACCCTTCGTCGCCCCAATGCCCATGCCGTCACACACTTACTTGAGGTTTCATTGGGCAGTCACCATGTCCTTAACGATTCTTATTCTTGTGCACCAATTCCTTGTCCTCTTCCAAGTTGCTGCATTGTCACTAAGAAATAGACCGTTTCCAGAAATGTCTCCACCACCTTTGTTCCAAACTTTCAATCGTTCACTCCATGATTGGTTACACCACCATTGTAACGATTGCCAGTACGTGCATTGTTGCCTCCACGAATTTGTTCAAGCCGAGTTTCTGCCGTCCTCAGCAAATCGATGCAAATCGTTGGTGAAAATTGACCCTCTAGTTTCCTAATCGCGATCACATCCTTCAATTTATGAAGTTTCAACCCTTGTGATGTGGTATTATGAGTTGATTTAAGTTTGTTGTTTCACTTTGCCTTAAATGAAACATGTCCTTTAATTGTTGTAGTGCAAGCATCTATCGTCCCTCTGTGAATCTTTTAGTTCTCTACCTACATGAGCTAGGTTTTCACGAGGAAAGGACGTTAGGGAAGGGGAATACCCATTTAACAGGGTTATTAAAGGGTGGCTAAAAAGAAGCCAAAAAGTTTGGATTTGTTTTATATACTACCTCCGTTCTTAAATAAGTGCAACATGTGAAATTTTACATTATTCGCATGTTCTACTTTGACTACATTTTATTTATTGATGTATTAATATTTTTTTTGAAAAATATATTATTAAATTTGTCTCATTGTAAATTTTCAAAAACTAATTTTTTAAATTTTTTTACTAATAGAGAATTATATATATTAATGGTCAAATTTGTGTCTCGGCAAGCGTGAAATGTTAACCGTTAAACTTATTTAAGAACGGAAGAAGTAATCTACTTAAAATCTAAGTGTCCAATCAGAACTTCATTAAAAATCTTAAAGTCACTTTTTTGACCTTTTCCCAAGTTTTAAATTTGGGCTAACTATTTTTGGGATGGAAGCATAAAAACATAAAACTGCCGTAGAGCCCCCACAACAAAGAAATGAACTTGATGGCGAGAGAGATAAAGAGCCGCCTCAGATCGACTCGACCTATGTCTGATTCTTGAGCCTAGCGACCCAAGACTTGTGCTCGCTCCATTATGTTCCGCCACGCCGCTACTCGCTTATGGAACCGATCAGCCTCTTCCGCCAGAGCGCCGCGACAGTTCTCCACGCCGTCGGCCGACGAAGCCTTTGTATCCGCCTGGAGAAGGGTGGTTCCTACCGTTGATCCTCCCAAGACTCCCCTCTCCTTCATGAAACATCGACCGCCAACCTCACCCGCTATCCCGTCTAAGCTCAAAATCAACTTCATTCTGCCATATGCTTCCCAGTTCTCTAACAACGAGGTAATTTTCTATTACTCGTGGCATTCTTGGCTTACTTTTTATCCTTACTTTACCTCAATTTATGCTCTATACTTACTTCAGATTCCTGTACAAAATTCAAGCTTTTCGGATGTTTTTGCTTAGGCAATGCTCTGTTCAGATTGTTAATGAGAATGTTTTGCTGAATTTGTATCATTTTGAAAGTGCTTTTTTTATTCATCTTTGGTAATAATGCCGTAACAAATTATGCTGTATTACTGTTTATATTTCTCTTCTTATATGGCATAATAAGCCCCAAGTTATGTTGGACATAAGCTGCTACTATAAATGCACTGTAAAGTGTCATATTGTCTCTTTAATTACTTCCACCTAAACCATAAGAAATCACGAGACTGTTGAATGGGTGGTAATATTTGGTTCAAAGGAAATAGTTGGGATTGAGGTTCAAGGATGACTACGAGTGGCATATCTAGTCAAATGTTGGTTGGACTAAGTCATTCCTTTTTAATGTGAGTACATGTAAAGTCTCTAGAAGTAGTTAAATGTGCATTGTAAGAAGGAAAGTATATGGTCCAAGCCTCCAAGGAAACTGCATAACCTCATTATAATGAAGTACTACCTCCCTTCCCTAAGATTGGGACAAGAGGAGTGCTGCAGTTTTTAAGAAAAGTAAAATCATGTGGTTGATATTAAATTGGTAAAGTATGAATAAAGTAAGAGTGAATTAGAACCACTCAAATATTACTAAATATGGTACGGGGTAAACTTTGTGGGGCGGACATAAAAGGAAAAATTGGACAATCACAGACGGAGAGAGAGTAATATATACTCAAATACAGAGTACTTCATAAGCATGAAATTGTGCTGCAATTATGTGATTACAGTCACTTTTAAATACTAAGGACATGTTTACTTCGCTACTAAAAACACGCTTAGGTTAGGAAGACAAATGAAGTAAACACACATGATGTTTAAAAAGTTACTTACTAACCAAACTGGTGCTTAAACTGCCGCTTACTAAGCACTTCATCCTCCATGTATTAATTAAGCGTCATTTTTAAGTTTTATCAGTTTTCTGCATTTACACTTACCTCTCACCCTTACCCTTATCTCATACCCTTACTCTAGCCGTTACCCCTACCCCTATCCCCCCACCATGTTACCCTTAACCCTACCCGTCCTCGTATCCCTCACCCTGATAAGTTCGTATTACAACACGCATTTGATGCGTGTTGGAATCGGATTTTGATAGTTTTCCTAGCTTTAAGGGGTTGCAAGTCTCAATTTTAGCTCAAGATGTAATTATCAGGCGTTGGGTCGAGTTTTGTGGCGTTTGAAGTCAAAAATCGGAGAATTTGAGCCTGACATCGGCATTTGAGATGAGTTGAAGAGCGCTCGAGAAAGATTTGAGAGATTTGGAGGTCACCGGGAGATTCGTGATGAAGAATTGTTGAAGAAAAAGCTTTTGAAAAGATTGCGGGGGCATTTGGAGCGAGGAAAAGAAGAGAAAATCAAGTTTTTACATACGCACGGTGATAGGGACCTACCTATTAGATTAATAATAGAAAGAATCATAATAATAGTTTTAATAAGGGCTTACGCAGTATTATAGTATAAATAGATGTAGAGGGAAGGTAGTAAGGAAGGTTTTTTGGACTTTTGGACTGGGACTGGGAAATATTAGAGAGTTATTCTCTTCTCTTTTGGGAGGCTTCTGCCTTTGTTTCTGTTTCTCTCTTTAACCGATCTTCTTCATCAAATAAGAATTTAGTTTGATTTTCTTGTTAATCTACTGTACTGGTGAGGTCCCTATCATTGGTATCAGAGCGTCGGTCGCTGGATGATACACACGCGCGCCAAAATGGAAGGACGGATCAATGAAGTCGAGAAAACTTTGTCAGATGTGGGAAGAAATCAACGTGAAATACAAGCAAATTTGGAGAGAAGTCAGAGAGAGATGCATGCGATGATGACGGCGATGCAAGCTAGCATCGCTGATTTGCAGAACCGACTTCAAAGTCGTTCGCGACATACATCGCACCATTCGCACCGATCTTCGCATGGCTCATCCCACCATAACTCTTCCCATCGTTCGTCGTATAGCTCTTCTCGTCAGACTTCGCATCATCAGTCGCGAAGGTCATCCAATCCAGAGGGATCGGAAGAGAATTTTGACTACTCTCATACGCATCCCAAATCTCATCATCGACATACGCGATTTTCGACTGACTCAGAGGAGTTAGAAGAGCAGAGACATCGCAGAAAATCTGGAGACTGATCGAGGACGACTAGGTATCTTCCGCTACCTGACAAACACAATCCATCGTCATCGCTTATAAGTTCGCAAACTGAAACGCAAATGAAAGCGCGAACTGTTCCTTTTAGTTCGCAATCGCGAACTTCTTTTCATATTTCTCAAGCGCGAACTGTTTCTCGCCATTTGCAGAATTCCTCTCCGAACCTCAGTTCGTGTCCAAGAAAGTCACCAATCGATTTTCACTATTTCCCTTCCTCTTCTCAAGTCGTTTCTATGTGTTTGCCAGTTTTATCACAAGATGGTTTTGTCCCTGAGCAAGAAATTCTACCGTCCATAGAGGAGATTGAGAGGGAACCAATTGAATCTGGAATCAAGAAAACGAATAAGGAGGACGAAATCGAGGAGCAAACTACAGTTGTAGGTGTCTTAAAGTCGAAAACGGTTCTTCCGGTTAAACAAACGCCAGATTATGCTTCTCCTAATATTGAAATTGCTATGGATTTAACTCCCAGTCGAGTTTCTATTGCTGACCTGCTTATCCACCCATGTTTCTTTGGAAGTAGAGTCTTAACTGCTTATGAAATTGGAACATTTAAAATCAAGAACGTTTCAGATGACAAAGCTGTTCGGATCAAAAGTCAAGAACCTAGACAACCCAGGGAAATGTTTTCAGAATATTCAAGCATTGATAAAAGGAAATCTGGGCCAGAGGCTCACGAGGATGTTGTGGATATTTTTTTAGGAGAATTTGCTATTATGTTTGGAAACCGTAAACCTTTTCCTGAAGATGAGAAGTCTAACCATCCCCAGCACTTTGATAGAAGTTCCCTGCAACTCACAACAGTAATTGTTAAAGACTTATCAGGATTAAAAGAAGCAGAATTGCCGCATATTGTTGATAGCATGATAAACTACCACAAGCTTGGCTTACATAATCCATTGAAAGCATTAGGAGGATATCTAAAATTGGGAGACATCACTGCAAAGACTGTTCTTAGCCTATCACTTACTGATGTTTTTGACATCTTAACAAGAGTGTTACAGAAGATGGCTCTTAAGAGTTATCAGCAAGCTCTAGGCGAAGTTGTTGCACCAATTTTTTTAGAAATACTCTATGGTAATCAGGTTCATTTTCTGGCAAGATCTTCTGAAGTGTCAGGAAGTTATTTGGGACAGAACCGCCCTGATTTGTGGACTTATGGTCCTTTGGAAATTGTTACTTACTTTAAATTTGTATTGGATATTCCTGCATTTCAACTGATGGGTGCATTACTCAAGGAAAATATGCATGTTCTTAAAAAAGACATCTGGTTATGCAGTGTAATGGGACAAATGCTACTTCTGTTTCATGATGGGGGAATACCATTGGAGATTGTAGAAGTCTTAAATTCAAAAAGAGGAACACAATATGACATAAGTTTTCATAAACTTTCTTATGACATGTGTGTGGATGAAATTCTGTACGAGCTATTCATTGAGAAGTTTCACTCAAGAGAGAGGATGGAGCCTGAGAGACATGCAATGCTGAACATGGTCAAGAGCTTTTCATCTAGAGGACTAGAAGTCTGGGAACTTCTTATACCACCATCAGCGAGGTACTGGGAGGGAAGAGGCACCAGGAGGAAGCGGAATTCCAGACTTGGTTCCTATCTTCCCACCTTGAGGGCAAGGTGGATTTTCAAAGGGGGGAGTATTGATAGGGACCTACCTATTAGATTAATAATAGAAAGAATCATAATAATAGTTGTAATAAGGGCTTAAGCAGTATTATAGTATAAATAGATGTAGAGGGAAGGTAGTAAGGAAGGTTTTTTGGACTTTTGGACTGGGACTGGGAAAGATTAGAGAGTTATTCTCTTCTCTTTTGGGAGGCTTCGGCCTTTGTTTCTGTTTCTCTCTGTAACCGATCTTCTTCATCAAATAAGAATTTAGTTTGATTTTCTTGTTAATCTACTGTAATTGTTCTGTACTGGTGAGGTCCCTATCACACGGTCGTGCCCATGAGGTACGCACGCCGTGCGTACGTGGCAGTAAGCTCCAGGAGACGAGACGAGATCACGCACGCCATGCGTGCGGGGTATGCACGTCGTGCGTGCACGAGGGCCGAAGCGAGGAAGCTACTGGAGGGTACGCACGCCGTGCGTGACTGTTACGCACGCCGTGCGTAAGTGCGAAACGCGGGTTTGCTCCGGACGCAAGGACGCCATGCACGCCGTGCGTAGCACCGTGCGTGGGTCCGAAACCATAATCCTGGCCGAATTTTGTTGTGTTTCCTTTAAAGGGGGATGGAACTTAGAGAGCAGCTTAAGGACGAAATTTAGAGAGCTTTTCAGCCCGTTTTTTCAATTCTCTAAGATTCTTTGTAAGTACCTACTTTTTAATTAAGGACAATTATTTCTAATCTTCCTAATTCTGTTGATTATTCAATTATGAGTCGGGAGTAGTTTTAATTAGGGATTTGGCATTGATGAAGGGGTTAATCATGATGTATGGCTAGATTCTTGATGGATTAATTGCATGAATGATATTTAATTTGTGTTTGAATGATTTTATTGATATCTTTTGTAACCTAGAACGGCCGCTAGAATTACAATTGCTTGTAGAATAAATTAAGAGAGATCTAGTTCATTCTAGGACACATTCACATACATTTAATCATTCACTAAGAGATTAGTAGCGATTAAGGGGCCGTAAGCTCGCTCGTTTTGGCAATGGTTTAGATACCTGTCGCATGAGAGATCAGCCTGGTCCCCTAAATTATTGTACTTTACGCCGCGAGAGCGGTAAGAACTTAGTAATGATTAGCTAGGCTCAATTAAATTAATTTCATGTAATTAAGCCTGATCTGCCAGAAATCTGATTACCCTGGGATCAATCCCTATTCCTTTCGTCGTTAATTATGAAAAACCCAATCAATTATTTTTATTCGCCCATTCGCATTAATTTATTTTCCAAACCACCCAATCTCGCACAATTGCATTTTATTTTATTTTATTTCTTTTTAATCCCTGAATTTAGTTAATCTTTAATTCCCCTTTACCGTCCCTGTGGAGACGATACTTGTACTTACACCACTCTTCTACGATCTACTTTTTAGTGCGAGAAAACTAACATCAGTTTTTGGCGCCGTTGCCGGGGACGGTGTCGATCTTAAGGGTTAATTCAACCCAGCGATCCGTTTTAGTTTTTCGTAGGATTTTTGTCTGCTAACCTTGCAGGCCAGAGCTGTTTATGCATACACGTTCTAAGAGGAGAGAACCGCTAATCCCTCTTAATCTTGAGATCGAAAAGCTCGCCAGACAAAACCGCAAGGCCCCGAAAGAGAAAATCACCATGGACCATCAATCTTCATCCGAAACCGCAGGGATGTCCGGTAACCCTAACCCCACAGCTCAGCAAGATTTCTATGTTTACACATCACCCTAATCTTCACTACCAATTTCACTTAGAAACTGTTAGCAATACTATATGCACGCCACCTGTAATAGTCTAGTATTAAAGTCTAACTGTTATAGTTAGTTTGGTTGTACTGTTGTGTCTGTTATAAGTCGGTTAGAGCTTTAGCTCTATAAATACTTATGTACTGTTATTCTTAGAGTTAATGAAATAACAATTCATCTTCTTCTACATTCTGTTAATTTTCTAATATGGTATCAGAGCTTCAGCTCGATCTACCATGACGAATTCAAGCTCGACCTCTTCCTCCTCTCGAGTTACTGGAAACTTTACGCTTCCAGCAGTTTTTACACATCCTATTCCAATCAAACTTGATTCGAACAACTACCTTCTCTGGAAGCATCATATTGAATCAGTTATTCGAGCGCACAAATTATTCAAGTTTGCGGAAAATCCGAAGATTCCTGATCAGTTTGTTGATGGCGACGATGAAGAAAGCAAGACGATCAATGATGCGTACACTATTTGGGAACAACAGGACCAAATGCTTTTTTCATGGCTGCTTTCCTCTCTGTCCGAGTCACTGCATGCTCGAGTCATCCATTGTCAACACTCACATGAGTTGTGGAGTACAATTCGGAAATTCTTCCAGTCATCCATTGTTGCGAGGGCCAGACAGCTTAAATCTGAGCTCTATAACACTGGAAAAGGCGATCGATCGATTTCAGAATACCTTCTTCGGATTCAAACGATTGTTGATAATCTTATCTCAGTTGGAGAACCGATATCCAATAAAGACCACATCAATGTAATTCTGGAAGGTCTTCCAGAGGAGTATGAGTCTCTTGTATCATCGGTAACGTCTCGAAGCATTCTAGATCCGATAACCATTTCTGAACTTGAACCTCTACTGTTGCTCAAGGAAATGCGACTGAAAAAGCTTCGTGAAGCCACCTCACAAAATATCTTCTCTGCAAATATTGCTCGTATTGATGCTTCGCCTCCAAATACCAGTTCTGATGCTCGTGTTGAAGCTCCTACAGCATCGGAAACCTCATCTGTCAACATTGCTCAGTTCAATAACCTTAATCACACAATCCTTCAGAGGAAGAGGACGTGGTGGCTCCAACAGAGGTCGAGGTGGTCGTTTTGGAGGTCGTAGCTCTATTATCTGTCAGGTCTGTGGAAAATCAGGCCATCATGCCTTAATCTGCTATCATCGCTATAATCCTGCATTCTCCAATACAAATCATAATACAGCCTATGCTAATCCTCCTACCATTGGACACTCTAACCATTGGTACTCCCAGACACCAAATCTATATTATCAACCTCAGATTCCATATCAACCTTCCTACACTCCTAAACCGCACAACTACCAACATTACAATTCTCCAACACCTTCTACTAATCACTTCAACCAGCAATCTTCCACTCCAACTCCAGAAACATTTACTTGGGAATCACATTCTTCCGGACCTTCTGTAGCTTTTGCCAGTGCTAATTCTTCAATTCTGGGACCAGCTCCATCTAACCAACCATGGTTCCCAGATTCAGGTGCCACACATCATGTAACTGTTGATCCACTGAATTTCCAGCATAGTGAACCCCTTGCTACAACTGACAAGCTCTTTATGGGCAATGGTCAAGGTTTGGATATACAGTCTATTGGTTTTTCTTCCTTTCCTTCACCCTTTCTTACTTCTCAGTATCTTCAACTCAATAATATTCTTCATGTTCCCACAATAACCAAAAATCTGTTGAGTGTTAGTCAATTTGCTAGAGACAATAATGTCTATTTTGAATTCTATCCTCATGATTGCTATGTCAAATCTCAGGTTTCTAAACAAATCCTTTTACATGGAGTCCTTGGTGCTGATGGTCTGTACAAGTTCCAGTCCATACCTCCTCTTGGTTCATATCAACCTGTCTCTGTAGGGTCTACAACAAATAAAACTGTTCATCCTGTTTCTTTTGTTTCCACTTGTAATAAGTCTCAAATATGTACTGCACCAGTTTCTTGTAATTTGTGGCATTTAAGACTAGGGCATCCACACTTTGAAGCCCTCAAATCTGTACTCCAATACTGTAATGTGTCCACAATTAATAAAAATGATATCTCTTTCTGCTCTTCTTGTTGTCTTGGAAAGGCACACAGATTACCTACACATTCTTCTAACACTGTTTATCATTCACCATTTGAACTAATCTTTACTGATTTGTGGGGACCAGCACCAGTTTTGTCCTTTGATGGATATTCATACTACATATCTTTTATAGATGCCTTTACAAGATATACTTGGATCTATTTTTTGAAAAAGAAATCAGATGCTCTCACAACCTTTCAAAACTTCTATCAGTATGTTATGACTCAATTTTCCACCCCTATTAAATCCATTCAATCTGACTGGGGAGGGGAATTTAGATCCTTTACCAGTTTTCTCACTGAAAAAGGCATCACTCATAGGTTAATTTGTCCACACACACATCACCAAAATGGTGTTGTGGAAAGAAAACACAGGACTATTGTGGAGAAAGGCCTATCCATTTTAGCTCATTCTTCCTTGCTTTTCAAATTCTGGGACACAACTTTTGCAACCTCTGCTCACCTTCTCAACAGAACACCACCCAAATCAATTGCTAATTCCAGTCCTTATTTCAAACTTTATGTATCTATTCCAGACTATTTCATTCTTAAAGTCTTTGGTTGTGCTTGTTATCCTTTTATTCGACCTTACAACAGACATAAAATGGACTTTCACTCTGAAGAGTGTTTTTATAGGTTACTCCCCTCAACACAAAGGCTATAAATGCCTCTCATCTTCTGGAAAAGTGTATATCTCCAAAGATGTCATATTTCATGAAACTAAATTTCCCTACTCACTTCTCTTTCCTTCATCATCATCTAATTCCACTACCCCACAGTCTTCACTTTCTACTCCTCTAACTGTCCTTCATCCTCAACAAAATCAGTCTTCTTTTTTTGAATCTTCTATTTGCCATTCCAATGAATCTCCATCAACTGCCTCCGAACTACACAGTTCATTTCACTCATCCCCCCCCCCCCCCCCCAGTTCTCATGGTCTCCAAGGTCAGCCTCTCAATTCTCCTCATTTGTCTCCAAGTCAGTCTCCTTTTGTATCCTTTTCATCTTCTAGGTCACCTTCTCCTCCTCCAACTAACACTCATCCTATGCAAATCAGGGCAAAGTCAGGAATTATTAAACCTAGACTAAATCCTACCTTACTGTTAGCTCATATTGAGTCTAAGTCAGTTAAGCAAGCTCTTTCCTCTCCTCAGTGGTTTTCATCTATGCAGACTGAATATGAGGCTTTAAAGGCAAATAAAACATGGTCCTTAGTTCCTCTGCCTCCTGATAAGCAAGCTGTTGGATGCAAATGGTTTTCAGAGTTAAAGAAAACTCTGATGGCTCTTTAAACAAATTCAAAGCCAGATTAGTTGCTAAAGGGTTTCATCAAAGGTTTGGATTTGACTTTGGAGAGACATTTTCACCTGTTGTTAAGCCTGTCACTATAAGAATTCTACTTACCTTGGCTGTTTCTCATAACTGGTCTATTCAACAACTTGATGTAAATAATGCCTTTCTAAATGGCAATCTTGAGGAAGAGGTCTATATGATTCAACCCCCAGGTTTTGAAGCCAAGGATACTTCTCTTGTTTGTAAACTACATAAATCCTTGTATGGCCTCAAACAGGCTCCAAGGGCCTGGTTCCAAAAACTGACTTCTGTTCTCTATGCTGTTGGATTCAAACAGAGTAAATGTGACCCATCTCTCCTAATTTTTCTGTCATCCAACATTCATATCTACATTTTAATCTATGTAGATGACATCTTGGTTATTGGGAATAATTCTACTGCCATTCAACAACTTATTCACAAACTGCATTCCTCATTCTCTCTCAAACATCTGGGTGACATTGATTTCTTTCTAGGAATTGAAGTCAGAAAACTAAGCAATGGTAGTCTACATCTTTCTCAAACAAAATATGTTAGAGATCTGCATAAAGCTGGAATGCTTGATTCCAAAGGAGTAAAAACTCCTATGACAAGCAGCTGCAAACTCACCAACTCAGGGAGTGACAATTTACCTGACCCCTATGCTTACAGATCTATAGTTGGGGTTTTACAGTATGCTACTCTCACACGACCATAGATTAGCTATGCAGTAAATAAAGTTTGTCAATTCATGGCCACACCTCTACAGGATCATTGGAAAGCAGTAAAACACATCCTCAGATATCTCTCTGGCACTGTACATCATGGCATCATTATTCAACCTCTTCCTCTGAAAACCATACCTCTACCAATCTCTGCATTCTGTGATGCTGATTGGGCATCTGATCTTGTTGATAGAAAATCTACTTCTGGAGCCTGTATCTTTCTTGGTCCAAATATCATCTCTTGGTGGTCCAAGAAACAATTAAGGGTGGCCAGATCATCAGCAGAAGCCGAGTACAGAAGTTTAGCAGACACAACAGCTGAAATCCTATAGGTTCAATTTCTACTTAAGGAGCTTCACATTCCTTTTGCTATTTCTAGAGTTTATTGTGATAATCTCAGCACACTACAACTTGCACACAATCATGTGCTACATTCTTGCATCAAACACATGGAAATTGATCCGTTCTTTGTGAGGGAAAAAGTTCAATCCAAACAACTTGAAGTATTCCATATTCCAGCCCCTTATCAAGTTGCTGATGTTCTCACAAAACCATTGCCTGCTTCATCCTTCCTTGAATTCAGAACCAAACTTAGTGTGATTGATCTTCCCAATAAATCACCCTAATTTTGAGGTGGAATGTTAGGAATACTATATGCACGCCACCTGTAATAGTCTAGTATTAAAGCCTAGCTGTTATAGTTAGTTTGGTTGTACTGTTGTGTCTGTTATAAGTCGGTTAGAGTTTCAGCTCTATAAGTACTTATGTACTGTTATTCTTAGCGTTAATGAAATAACAATTCATCTTCTACATTCTGATAATTTTCTAATAGAAACCCTCCTGGTTTTCGGAACTACCGTACATCGATCTTTTCCCAAAATCAGCCTTCACCGCAATTTAACCTCCCTCCATTATATTAACTTTTTCAAAATACCCTTACTGCTCCTGAAACTAATTTCCAAAATCAAGTTTATGGGATGCAAAGAGCAGGGCAGAGTATTCCCGTTTTCCAACCGAGACAGAACCCACTTCCAATCAATCAACCTACATTCCAAAATCAGCCCCAGTACCATAATCCGTACCCTAATCAGTATCACAACCAAACCCAAGTCCCACCTGCTCAGCCACAACCAGCCCCCCAGCCTAGACAGCAGGCGCCTCCACCTAATACCTATGTACCGCATAATAATCCGCTCTATCAGGGCCGGACCATTGCAAAGTTCTTTATACCAGACGTCTCAGAATATGATAGCATTCAAGTGTCAGGAATTACTGCCAATCGTTATGAGATCAATCCGGCAGTGATAAACATGGTGTCCAATAACCAATTTGGAGGAGGCCCTACAGAAGACCCAGTGGCACATATTACCCGCTTTCTGAGAATGTGCCAAACTTTCAAGATACCAGAGTTAACTGATGATCAGGTCAGGATGATGCTTTTCCCTTTCTCACTGAGGGATGATGCACAGAGGTGGTTGGACAACAATCCTCACCACCACCTCCAAACTTGGGACCAGTTGCATAATGTCTTTATAAAAGAATACTTTCCAACATCAAAGGCACTTAAATTGAAAAAGTAGCTGCAGGAGTTCAAGCGGGGATCTCTAGAAGCACTGGCTGAAGCATGGAAGATATTCAAGGTGCTGAGAAGAGCTTGCCCTCAGGGCAATTTGAGTGATTGTGAGGTTCTTTTCTACTTCTATAGCGGACTCAACAATGAAGGGAAGATGATGTTGGATGCTTCGGGTGACGGAGTCTTTCCTGATTTACCATCTGAGGTTGGGGAAGAACTAGTGGAGAAGATTGTTTCAAATAATGCATCTTGGTACAGCGACAGGAGTTCTCCTCAGCAAAAGGCTCCGGGCCTATACGAGATCAGTGATAATTCTGCTCTCTCTGCACGAGTAGATACATTGGCAAACATGGTGCAGAAGCTCACAACCAGCGTGGATGCTATAGGGAAAAATGTGGATCTTGCTCTCTCAGTGCCCAGTGTTAATATGGTAGCCCCCTGTCACGAATCTCCCGATGCCGCGGCATGACATGCCAATACGCCGCGGCATGACATGGAATACGCCACGGCATAACCGTGGCCAGGTGACAAGGAAGAGTCTAGAACATCCCAAGAGGAAGGGGCAGAATCCTGGAGGCTAAGAGAATATTCTAGACTCGTGTAGATACATATACACTTGTATAGAGTATAGTAGAATATTCTAGAATATGATAGAGTTGTATAGAATGTTCTAGAATTAAACCATAGCCGTTAGATCAAATAGATCTCAACCATCCATTGAGGAGGAGGGCAAGTATAAATACCCCTCAAGGTGGTTCATTTGTACACATCGAAGTTTCCAAGCATTCAATAAAGTCTCAAGCTTTCCTCAAGTGTTCTTGCCTTTAACACATTCCCTTCTAGCCAAGCACTTAAAAACACACAACACTAAGGAGTTGTCCAGGCTGACTTAGCTACTGCGAGGGGCAGAAAGGAGCTAAGGCCGCACGTGAGCTTGTTGAGGGAACAAGTCCGTGACAGTTGGTATCAGAGCCAGGTTCAGGTTCGGGTTCGTGTTGTGCACATTTGGGAGCATGGCTGGAAACGTTGACACTAGCATGTCCAACTTCACCGAGGAACGTGGGAGGGATGCTAATCCTAACCATGGCAAGAAGAAGCGTGATCAAAGCAAAGCTCGAGGGGAGATTCTTGCTTTGGAGGAAGCTGTTGAAGGGCTAGGCGCTAAGCTCGAGAGGGTCGAGAACGGCGCAAACTTGCTGGAGAACCATATGTTTGAGCAACTTAGCCTTGTGAAGGATGAGGTGGGGGACCTCGATGGCCGATTTGTTCAACTGGAGGAAAAGGTAATGGATGCTATCCAATCTTTACAAGTTAGTCTTGAGGGTATGCGTGAAGAGTTGGCGTTGTGTAAAAAGGCTGCTGCCAGTGGTGGGGCAACGATCAACCTAGCCCATACCCCTAAGATTGATTATCCGAAGCCTTCTAAGTTCCATGGAGTTCGAGATGCTAAGGAAGTCGAGAACTACCTATGGCAAATGGAGCAATACTTTGACAACCTCAACCTAGAGGATGAGACGGCGAGGATCAAGACGGCCACATCCTACCTAGCGGATACGGCCATGTTATGGTGGCGAAGAAGGCATGCGGACATTGAGCGGGGCGTTGCACGGATTGACACTTGGGACGACTTCAAGAAGGAGTTAAAGAGGCATTTCTATCCGGAGAACGTCGTCTTCGAGGCACGCAAGAAGCTAAGGGAGTTGAAGCAAAGAGGTACGATTCGTGACTATGTGAAAGACTTCACAACCCTTATGCTCCAAATCCCCAACTTGTCCCAAGAAGACCTACTTTTCTATTTCGTGGATGGGTTACAAAGTTGGGCTAAACAAGAGGTGCAACGGCGGAATGTTCAAACGGTGGATGAAGCCATTGCCGCTGCTGAATCCTTGATGGACTTCCAGCACCATAGTTATGGGGAGGCATCCAAGAGAAAAGACAAGAACCCCGTCAAAGGTGGGGGAGAGAGACACGACAACGTGGGAAAAGAGAACCCACGAAAATCATTCTTCAAGAGGGGAGACAAGAGTTTAGGGCGTGAGGAGTACGAGGCAAAGAAGAAGTCCTTTGTACCGAAGGGTGGTTGCTTCGTATGCAAAGGACCGCATACCGTGAAGGACTGTCCTAAGCTTGGTTCATTGTCTGCCATAGTAGAGCAACAAGAAGCGGAAGCCCGAGATGAGGAGACGAGCAAGATGGGATCTCTCCAAATCCTTAATGCTCTCAAGGCGAAGCCGATGCCTACGACGACAAGCAAGGGGCTCATGTACGTTGAGGCATACATCAATGGGAAACCAACAAGGGCGTTGGTGGACACGGGCGCAACGCATAACTTTGTGACTGAGGAGGAAGCCAAGAGGGTTGGTCTTCAATGGTCCAGAGGCGAGGGGTGGCTTAAAACAGTTAATGCCAAGGCTCAGCCCCTGAACGGCGTGGCACGAGGTGTGAATCTACGCCTAGGCGCTTGGAAGGGCCAAGTGGATTTTTCGGTGGCACCAATGGATGACTTCAAGGTTGTTCTAGGGATGGACTTCCTGAGACAGGTAACTGCGATCCCTATGCCATCCTTTAGCACGGTTTGCATTCTTGAGAAGGGTTCACCGTGCATGATACCGACATTGGAAACTCCCAATGAGCGGCCAAGTGGGGCTAAGACATTGTCGGCTATGCAAGTAGCCAAGGGGGTGAAGAAGGGAGAACCGACATTCTTAGCCGTACTCAAGGTGGATGATGAGACGGAAGGGCCGACAGACATACCACCTCTTATTCAAGCTGTCCTTGAGGAAAACAAGGACGTGATGCCGGCGAAGTTACCCGACAAGCTACCACCTAGGAGGGAGGTGGGTCACAAGATCGAGTTGGAACCGGGTGCCAAACCACCCGCAATGGCACCCTATCGCATGTCCCCAAGTGAGCTCGAGGAGCTACGTCGCCAACTCGATGAGCTGTTAGGGACCGGGAAGATGAGACCGTCGAAGGCACCTTATGGCGCACCGGTACTATTCCAAAAGAAGCATGATGGGACGCTAAGGATGTGCGTGGACTACCGGGCGCTTAACAAGGTAACGATCAAGAACCGCTATCCTATTCCGTTGATTGCCGACCTATTCGATAGACTTGGTGGGGCCAAGATATATACAAAGATGGATCTACAAAAAGGTTACTACCAAGTACGAATAGCGGAAGGAGATGAGCCTAAGACCGCATGTGTTACACGCTATGGCTCGTTCGAGTGGTTAGTCATGCCCTTTGGACTAACCAACGCACCAGCCACATTTTGCACGCTCATGAACAAGATCTTCCAACCCTATTTAGACCGGTTTGTGGTGGTATACTTGGACGATATTGTGGTTTATAGCAACTCCATGGAGGAGCATGTGGAACACTTACGCATTATCTTCCAAGTACTCCGGGAGAATGAGCTTTATGTCAAGAAGGAGAAGTGCATGTTCGCCACGGAGGAAGTACACTTTCTTGGTCATGTCATTGGGCATGGGAAACTCATGATGGACATGGGGAAGATTAGGGCAATCGTGGAATGGGAGGCACCGACCAAGGTAACCGAATTACGGTCATTCCTTGGGTTAATAAATTACTACCGGCGTTTCATCGAGGGATATTCGAAGAGGGCAGCCCCATTGACGGACCTACTCAAGAAGGGGAAAACTTGGGAATGGTCCGACCTATGTCAAGAGGCCTTTGATGACCTGAAGGCCGCGGTGAGCCAAGAGCCCGTTCTAGCTCTACCGGACTTTGACAAACCATTTGAGGTACAAATCGATGCCTCCGACTTTGCCATTGGAGGAGTGTTGATGCAAGAGAGGCATCCAATAGCATTCGAGAGCCGCAAGTTGAACGAGACGGAGCGGCGTTACACCGTGCAAGAGAAGGAGATGACCGCGGTGGTTCATTGCTTGCGCGTATGGAGACACTACCTCTTAGGCGCAAAATTCATCATCAAGACAGACAACGTGGCAACGAGCTATTTCCAAACTCAAAAGAAGTTATCACCTAAGCAAGCTAGGTGGCAGGATTTCTTGGCGGAGTTCGACTACACTTTGGAGTATAAGCCCGGGAAAGCCAATGTTGTAGCCGACGCACTTAGTAGGAAGGCAGAGCTCGCAGCCATTAGTCAAGCGGAGGGGGACCTGATCGGGCGCATCAAGGAGGGACTTGAACGCGACCCCATGGCGAAGGAGTTGATGAAGCTAGCCAAGGAGGGCAAAACCCAACGGTTTTGGGAAGAGGACGGCCTTCTCTACACAAAGGGGCGTCGTCTTTATGTCCCAAAATGGGAGAATTTAAGAAGAGATCTCGTCAAGGAGTGCCATGACACGAAGTGGGTTGGTCATCCCGGCCAAAAACGCACCCTAGCACTTGTCGAGACAGCATATTTCTGGCCACAGATGAGGGACACTGTGGAGCTTTATGTGAAGACCTGTCTTGTGTGCCAACAAGACAAGGTGGAGAATCGGCAACCCGCAGGACTGCTGGAACCATTGCCCATTCCCGAGCGACCATGGGACTCTATTTCTATGGACTTCATTAGTGCCCTACCGAAGTCCGAGGGGTTTGGATCTATCATGGTGGTGATAGATCGATTTTCTAAGTATGGGACGTTCATCCCGTGCATGAAAGACTGCACAGCGGAGGAGGCGGCACGGGGGTTCTTCAAGAACGTGGTGAAGTATTGGGGACTTCCAAGAAGCATAGTGAGTGACCGAGACCCCCGCTTCACGGGCCGACTATGGACTGAGTTGTTTAAGTTGCTGGGGACACAACTCAACTTCTCTACAAGCTTTCACCCTCAAACCGATGGGCAAACCGAACGGGTGAACGCCTTGCTAGAGTGTTACCTTCGGCACTTTGTAAGTGCCAACCAGCGAGATTGGGCAAGACTCTTGGACATAGCCCAATTCTCATACAACTTGCAGCGGAGTGAGTCTACGGGACGAAGTCCATTTGAGCTTGCCACGGGGCAACAACCACTAACTCCACACACTTTGGCCACGCCACTCCAAGATGGGAAGAGCCCGGGAGCATTTAAGATGGCGAAGTCTTGGGAGGAACAAGCCGATCTAGCTCGTTCGTGTTTAGAGAAAGCACGCAAGCGGATGAAGAAGTGGGCGGACGAGAAGAGGCGGCCAAAGGAGTACACCGTGGGGGACTTAGTCTTTGTGAAGCTCTTACCACAACAATTCAAGGTATTGAGAACCTTACACAAAGGCCTAGTCCGTAGATATGAGGGGCCATTCCCGATTATTGCTAAGGTAGGAAAAGTTTCGTATAAGCTCGACCTACCCAGCACATTGAAGATTCACCCGGTCTTCCACGTGAGTATGTTGAAGCCTTATCATGGGGATGAGGAAGACCCAAGCCGGGGGTTATCAAGCCGAGCACCGCCTGTAGTCACTAAGTCTTACGACAAAGAGATTGAAGACGTGCTCGCAACAAAGGAGGTTAGGAAGAGGGGCGTTCCACGCCAAAATCACTACTTGATCAAATGGAAGGGACTACCCGAGTCGGAAGCAACGTGGGAACCTGAAGAAGACTTGTGGCAGTTCTGGGACAAGCTCGAGGCGCACAAGGCGACGAGGACGTCGCCAAGTTAGGTGGGGGAGAATGTCACGAATCTCCCGATGCCGCGGCATGACATGCCAATACGCCGCGGCATGACATGGAATACGCCACGGCATAACCGTGGCCAGGTGACAAGGAAGAGTCTAGAACATCCCAAGAGGAAGGGGCAGAATCCTGGAGGCTAAGAGAATATTCTAGACTCGTGTAGATACATATACACTTGTATAGAGTATAGTAGAATATTCTAGAATATGATAGAGTTGTATAGAATGTTCTAGAATTAAACCATAGCCGTTAGATCAAATAGATCTCAACCATCCATTGAGGAGGAGGGCAAGTATAAATACCCCTCAAGGTGGTTCATTTGTACACATCGAAGTTTCCAAGCATTCAATAAAGTCTCAAGCTTTCCTCAAGTGTTCTTGCCTTTAACACATTCCCTTCTAGCCAAGCACTTAAAAACACACAACACTAAGGAGTTGTCCAGGCTGACTTAGCTACTGCGAGGGGCAGAAAGGAGCTAAGGCCGCACGTGAGCTTGTTGAGGGAACAAGTCCGTGACACCCCGGTCTTATTAGTACTTCTTGTACTACACGTGGGGGACTCCATTGGTCGCATGAATGCACTATGATGGCACACTCGGCTGCCCCTGAAGTAGAGCAAGTTAATGCGATATATTCTCAGCGGCAATGCTACTTCAATCAGCCCTACGGACAGCAGCAACAAGGGAATTACGGGCAAGGAAATCAGCAGCAGTAGCAGTCTAGGAACTATAATCAGCCCCAAGCACCTCAAGGTAAGCAACAAGCACCTCAGCCGGTGCAAAGGAGTTTAGGAGGGAGACTGAGCAAAAATTTTCTACCTTGGAAGAAACGCTAAAACAATTAGCGCAAAATCAACTGAGGGCGGACTCAAGGATGCAAAACATTGAAAATCAATTGGGGCAGCTTGCAAAAGCCATATATGAGAGGCCTCAGGGATCCCTCCCTAGTAACACCGAAAATAACCCTAGAGAGCAAGTACACGCCATCACACTAAGAAGTGGAAGGGATCTCGAACCTGCTGTCATAGAGAAGAAGTCTACGAAAGTTGTACCTGCTGAAGTTGTTCACGAAAAAGAGAAGGAAGAAGAGGAGAAGAAAGAGGTGGAGGCAGCCCCAATCCAGCCCGTTCTAGTCAAACCTCACTGCCCACCCCTCCCATTCCCGCAACGATTAAAGGGGAAGAGTGACACTGAGGACTTCAACAAGTTTTTGAACCTCTTTAAACATGTTCAAGTAAACGTACCATTCATGGAGGCACTGCAACAAATGCCGAGGTACTCAAAGTCGGCATTACGCAAAGTTTATAAAAGAACTCCTCTCTAACAAAAGAAAGTGGGGAGAACCGAAATCGGCGGTGCTGAATGAAGAGTGCTCGACAGTGGTGCTAAAGGAGATGCCTAAAAAGCTCAAGGACCCAGGTAAGTTTACTATCCCTTGCTCCATAGGAAGTGAGATTTTTTATAATGCTTTAGCTGATTTGGGTGCAAGCATCAATCTAATGCCTTCTGCTTTGTATGAGAAGTTTGCACTCGGTCCACTTAAATCAACACACATGTGCATACTGGCTGACCGATCGGTCAAATACCCCCAGGGGATTGCTGAAGACGTGTTGGTTAAAGTGGACAAATTTGTTATTCCTGTCGATTTTGTTGTCCTAGATATGCCCCAAGATCTTGATGTGCCCTTAATTCTTGGAAGACCTTTTCTGGCCACTGCTCGGGCCCTCATAGATGTTGGGGACGAGAAATTGATCTTGAGAGTTGGAGAGGAGAGAGTCACTTTTTGCATGGCCAAACTGGCAAAACAGTCCTGTCATGTTATAGATGAGTGCTATGTGTTAGATGTCATGGAACCACACGGAGAAGAGGGAGGAAAACCCCCACCTCTCAAAGAGACCGCTTTCGATCCATTCTTTGATAAAGGGTCTGATAAAGGCTTGGAACCGCCCTTTTGTTGTAGTTGTGATCCTCCATTAAATTTGTGGTTTCATGAATTCCAAGTTTTGAGCCATCTGAGGGCGTTTGTTGATAAGAGGTTTGATATGTGGAGGACAACTTTTCTAAGTGGACGTGTATTTAATTGAGGATCCCGTGGGTTTGTTGCGTCGGGCAAATGACGTTAAAAATAGCGCTTCTCGGGAGGCAACCTGAGCTTACTTCTGCATTTGTTGTTGTTTCGTTTATTTTGTGTGTTTTGTGTGTTTTGTTTTTGCAGCTCAGGGTTTTCCGTTGGGATGATGTGCCGAGGATCACTTGACTCAGTTTAGTTCTGCACCGATCAACGCCTTAGGGAAGTTTCTGCGACTCTTATATTTGCCTATTTGTAATGTTGACTTGAGTTGAGATTGAGCACGCGTGACCTTTTCCCCTTTACCCCCTTGTGCATAGTGCATATTTCGTCATCGAGGGCGATGCCAAAGTTTAAGTGTGGGGGAGTGAATTGGGCATTTGGACAGTAGTCGTTACATGTGATTATTAGAGTTAGCATGTACAGGTGTTAGTTGTATATTAATAGGAAAGTCATGTCAAATTTTTGAAAATTTTTCATTAAACTGTGTTTATGTGAGTTGGCTAGCGTTTTGACTAAATTATTCACATCATCTTTAAAGTATTTAGGCTTAAATTGCTTGCACTATAACCTAGTTCTTGAGAGGATGAAGGCATTAGTCACCCATCGAATTAATTCATAAAATCATTCACTCCACTTGAATAAGTTCCTTTAAGAGAAGCCATTTTGAGCCTGACCGTTCTTTGTTCACCCAATCAATTGAGCTCCATAACCAAATAGCCTGTTTCGTACCCATGAATATATCTGACAAAGTGTTGATGTTTAGGGAACTAGAGGATTAATTTGCTAAGTTTAAGGAATTTGTGTAGGAGCCATTTTTAGCACTGTTCCTATGCCTAAGTGAATTTGATATTTTCGAGGAATTTGATATTTTCGAGGACTGCATTGTAGGCATGGATTCACTTTTAATTTAATGAACTTTAATTGCTATTTTTCTTTGGTGAGGCCGAGATTAGAATGAGGTAATGTCTAGTGAGAATCCGAAAGGTGAAAAATTAATGTAGCTAGACCTCTTATCTTGCGAAAAAGAGAATGGGAGCCCCAGTCAAAAAGCGTAAGTGTTTTTCACAATTAGATGAGACCTTGAGTATCTTTCGAAAGAAATGACGTTCTCGTGACAACATGACAAGGAAAACTGAACTTATTTAATGAATTTGGAGGCTTTAGCAAAATTAGCTTTAGTCCTCCGCGTACTTCAAGTATACGTCAAAGCACCAATGATTGTTCTTAGTTGTACACCATGTCTACTCTTTGCATAGACTTAGATGATTGTTCCTAAATTGTGGCCTACTGAGTTCCTTGATCCTAAGAATAACCCTGAAGTTCCTGAATGCATTGAGTCTTTGTTAGAATATTCCAATCTCTCAAAAGAAAGGGCTATTATCATTCACCATTCACTATCACCTTCACAAGTCTTTCTGATCGACATCTATTTTATTTGGGTATGATGTCATTACTTTAAGGATGGTGCGAATAATTTTATCAAATAGTTTAGCTTGAGTACAAAGATGTAGTTTAGGGAAGAATTTTCTTGGTCTAGATTGTCTCTCTGTGAATATCCTTTTAGCTACGTGTGCATGCTAACTGTTTTAATTCTGTGTGGTGATTATCGTAAGTCCCATTGTTCGATTTGTTTGAGGACAAGCAAAAGCTCAAGTGTGGGGGAATTTGATAAGTTCATATTACAACACGCATTTGATGCGTGTTGGAATCGGATTTCGATAGTTTTCCTAGCTATAAGGGGTTGCAAGTCTCAATTTTAGTTCAAGATGTAATTATCAGGCGTCGGGTCGAGTTTTGTGGCGTTTGAAGTCAAAAATCAGAGAATTTGAGCTCGGCATCGACATTTGAGATGAGTTGAAGAGTGCTCGAAAATGATTTGAGAGATTTGGAGGTCACCGGGAGGTTCGTGACGAAGAATTGTTGAAGAAAAAGCTTTTGGAACGATTGCAGGGGCATTTGGAGCGAGGAAAAGAAGAGAAAATCAAGTTTTTACATACGCACGGTCGTGCCCATGAGGTACGCACGCCGTGCGTACGTGGCAGTAAGCCCCAGGAGACGGAATGAGATCACGCACACCGTGCGTGCAGGGTATGCACGCCGTGCGTGCACGAGGGCCGAAGCGAGGAAGCTACTGGAGGGTACGCACGCCGTGCGTGACTGTTACGCACGCCGTGCGTAAGTGCGAAACGCAGGTTTGCTCCGGATGCACGGACGCCACGCACGCCGTGCTTAGCACCGTGCGTGGGTCCGAAACCCTAATCCTGGTCGAATTTTGTTGTGTTTCCTTTAAATATCACCTCCCTAATCCTTTTAGAGGGGGTGGAACTTAGAGAGCAGCTTAAGGACGAAATTTAGAGAGCTTTTCAGCCTGGTTTTTCAATTCTTTAAGATTCTTCATAAGTTCCTACTTTTTAATTAATGGCAATTATTTCTATTCTTCCCAATTCTGTTGATTATTCAATTATGAGTCGGGAGTATTTTTAATTAGGGATTTGGGATTGATGAAGGGGTTAATCATGATGTATGGCTAGATTTTTGATGGATTAATTGCATGCATGATATTTAATTTGTGTCTGAGTGATTTTATTGATATCTTTTGTAACCTAGAACAGCCGCTAGAATTACAATTGCTTGTAGAATAAATTAAGAGATATCTAGTTCATTCTAGGACACATTCACACACATTTAATCATTCGCTAAGAGATTAGTAACGATTAAGGGGCTGTAAGCTCGCTCGTTTTGGCAATGGTTTAGATACCTGTCGTATGAGAGATCAACCTGGTCCCCTAAATTATTGTACTCTACGCCGCGAGAGCGGTAAGAACTTAGTAATAATTAGTTAGGCTCATTTAAATTAATTTCATGTAATTAAGCCTGATCTGCCAGAAATCTGATTACCCTGGGATCAATCCCTATTCCTTTCGTCGTTAATTATGAAAAACCCAATCAATTATTTTTATTCACCCATTCGCATTAATCTATTTTCCAAACCACCCAATCTCGCACAATTGCATTTTATTTTATTTTATTTCTTTTTAATCGCTGAATTTAGTTAATCTTTAATTCCCCTTTATCGTCCCTGTGGAGACGATACTCGTACTTACACCATTATTCTACGATCTATTTTTAAGTGCGAGAAAATTATTATTACACCCCTAACCCATCCTCGTTTCCTTCATCTCTTACCTCTTACCCATTATCCCTACCCCTACCCGTCACCCTTACCCCCACCCCCACTCCCACCACTACCCCCTCCCCACCCCTACCCATCCTCGTATAGTAGTACCCCTAACTCCTAACCCCACCCCACCTGTTACCCTACCTACCCCTACCTCTACCCCTTACCCTCATCCCCTGTCCTAGTCGTTCCATGGGGGGTAGGGGTACGAGCCACGAGTAGGGGTTAGGGTGTTGGGGTAGGGGCCGGGGTAAGGGTAGGATTAGGGGTGGTAGGTGGTAGGGGATAGTAGGCCCCCACGTAATATATATACTGGTGCATACATAAAGGTTTGTGTGTTTATATATGTATAGGGTTATTTTGGATATTTTAATGTTAAACGGTGTTTTAAACCCTTTAAGGTAAACATGAGCTTATAGCACTACTTATTTTAAGCATCGCTTATTAACGCAAGTCTTAATAATCATCGCTTAGTAACATGTGAAGTAAACATATCCTAAGGTATGTAGATCAATGGTTCAAAAGAATGTTTGAGATATTTGTTTTGAAGAATCACTGAGTTTACTTTTCTGTTTTAGGGAGTGTAAGAGTGTGTTTGAGATGACTTGGTTTAAAGAATAACTGGTTTTCATCAGAATGAAGAGAACTTTTACTTGAAGGAAGAAAAACTTTAGCAATGAAAAGAAAAAGAACTAAGAAGCGCCTATTGTGATTAAAAGTACATAGAGCTGTTTGAAAAGAAAATGCTATTAGTGCTTAAATGAGAAAGCACTTCGTATAGCATAAGTAATGCCAAACAAGATCTAAGTCTGCTTGACTGCCCCTTGTTCAATTGTGCACTTTATGTCATCAGGGTGTTCAAGAGGCAGTTTATCTGTCTCTCAACTTGAACTTTGAAACAAAAAAAAATTGTAATTTTAATTGTTTAAGGTTCTCCCCCGTCATCTCCTACACATCTCTGTTAAATGCACAAAACCGATATGTTGTTAGTTCTGCGCTTCTATTTGTATTTCATTTTTTCTCAAGGCCTTATAAGAAAATATCTGGAACACATAAGATGGTAGGGAAGGGATGTTCAAGAGGCATTGTAAGAGTTTGTTTTCTGCTTAGATTCCTCCCACATTTTCATCCCTTCCAAATTTCTTCCCTATTTCCATCCATAATTCCTCTCACTAGCTTTCTCCGCGTTCCAAACGGACCCTAAATGCATGTGGGTGCTCATGCTGAATAAGGTTATGTGTTGCAGGTTGACATGGTTATTATACCAACAACAACGGGGGAGGTGGGTATCCTCCCAGGACATGTAGCCACAATTGCTGAGCTAAAGCCCGGAGTAATGTCAGTGCATGAAGGAAATGATGTGATGAAATATTTTGTTAGCAGCGGGTTTGCATTTGTGCATTCAAACTCTGTTACAGATATAATGGCTCTCGAGGCAGTTCCCATTGAAAAAATTGATCCAGACATAGTGGAAAAAGGGCTTGCAGAGTTGACACAGAAGCTTAGCTCTGCATCTACCGAGTTGCAGAAAGCTGAAGCACAAATCGGTGTGGATGTGCTAACTGCTCTTAATTTTGCCGTTATGGGTGGCTAGGCTAGTAGGCTGTGTTTGTTTTTAAAATACGTGTTTTTGTTGATAAATATCAGTATATTTTTATCCAATTAACATATGTGTATATTATTTACACCAACTTTCTGTTTAAAATTCAATTAGGAAGACTGTTGAATAAATTATTGAAAAACAATGCGTCAAAGTATATATAAAATCGCATCGTTTTTCCAAAATTTATTTAATTGACTTTCTCATTCAATTTTAAATTGAAATTTAGTGAAAATAATTTACACTTCATGAAAAATATACTTACAATATTTTATTAAAAAATCTACCATAAGCATTTTTTTTTATCATCAAAACACGCCTCTTTATATGAAAAGATTCAGGATCATTACATCAAGCAAAGAGAAAATAAAACAGACACCAACTGAAACTCCAACACCTACGACTGTAACCCTATGGTGAGACTTTGTGACGGTCACCCCTGAGAGAGCAACACGAAACGCTAACCATGTAGTGGACTTGACACAGCCAAAACTATTCTCATAGATCTAACCATACCCAATGACGTAAAGAGAGACAAAAAAACTCAAACAAACTGTCAAACACAACAACAAAAATGGACGCAAGAAAACAAATAACAAACAGATAAAAACTACAAGAAAAACGTTCACGAACTCTAACACCTCGTACATCTCATGGTGGTGGTTCAGGAAGAGGTCGTACCACTGGTACCATGCTAATTGATCCTCCATGACCTTTGGTTGACAAAGACCATACATCAATCCTACATCCCTGCATAACTAAACTCATCCTTGCTCCGTGCGACCAGAGTAAATGAATAGGCGGTGCTGATCTTCTCCAACGATGACAGCAACGTTGCATCCTTGAACCTTGACCACAGTGTCGATCTCCTCGAGTCATGACAGATTGACAGCAAATCTGCCCTCCTCCATCGATCTCCGCCCTCCACGTCTGACCTGGACTCCAGTCGAGCAGCAGCGACCAAGGGATAACAAAGTCGATCTTCGACAAAGTTGAAATCGGAAAAAGGCTGAAATGTTAAATCTACCGCATGTGAAATGGAGAATTCTATCAAGTATTTTTGATCCGATTTTTTTCTGATTATTTCATACGGAGTATTTAGGATGTTTTTACTTGGACTGTAATTCCTTCCAGACCAGATTAGACCAGACCATACTTGGATAGTTATAAAAATACAAAGAAATCAGATCAGTTCAGATCAGTCTAGATCAGACCAACAAATTACAATCCAATTAAAAACATCTTTAATACTATTAAGCAGTATTGTTACAAAATAAAAAAGTCCAATTAAAAACATTTTTAATACTAGTAAGCAGTACTATTACAAAATAAAAAAGTTGAGGGGCAAGGCCCCTGCCATTATACCTGCCTCCGCCCTATTTTGAAATTCGACCTCCAACATACAAACCTTCAATACTCACATGATACGAATATACAAAGAATCGATTTTGATTTTTCTTTTCAAATTAAGAAGACTATAATATTCTAAAGTTTGTAATATCGTGTTATGTAATATTCTCTCCGTCCCAAATTGAGTTAAATTATTGACATTTTGAGTTAATTAGATTCATTTTATTCATGATATCAGTTATTAATTATATATACTTTAATTTGGATTTTACAAGTTTAAAGAGATTTTAATGTAGTTTCTATGTAAATTTTAATTATTAAAATTGAATTAATTATCAATATGGGAAAATTTAACTTGATTGACTAAAAAATGTTGATTTTGCAAAACAATTTGAAACGAAAGTATGCTATTTTGTTGTTTGCAATACTTACTCTGAATTACTTCTCCTATCAGATTACCTTTTAGAACAGAAACTTGTATCTGAGCCAACCTGATCAATAATCACGGTGCGGGTCTCCTATGAAAAATAACGACACGATTATAAAAAATTATAATGACAAACTAAAGAAAAAAATGAATGATGATACGATCTATACGAAGTGTCTGATAGTGAAGAGGCGTGTTGAAGTCTCACATCGATAAATCAAAAAGTAGTAAAGTACTCTATCAAAATCTGATTTGCTCCTCATATCAGGTTTACTTTTAGATGGAAACCTATGTCCTAACAATCTCTTAAGACCTGAAGTTCTATTCTAAAAGGTCAATCCGATAACAGGATGACCCATAGTCTTATATATTGTTTATATTGTTTTATAAATTTTTAGTGTGGGACAAATATTTTAACACGCCTACTCAGCCTGAATCGGGCTGGATAATATCGAGGTGTATAAATGGGTCAAACAGATCTTTAGCAATTTACCCTTAATCATGTGTGTTAAATAAACTGTCAAACCAGAATCAGACTTGTCTCATATACCATGTTAAGACCTAAGATTTCATCCTAAAAGGTCAGCCTGGTATAAAAAGTAGCTTGAAGCTGTTGGGTGTGTCTCGGAAAAACGAAGAAATATTAATTAAATAAAATTAATTACTAAATAAAATAGCTAAAAGAAAACAGAAAATAGATGGAACAAAGTTGAGCCAGAGCTCGTGCTACGCACGATGTCATTAAAACGTATTTGTCGCCTCCCACGGTGGTAGGAGCGCTGCAACGACCGTTTCACAGGATAAGGTGGCTAACGAACTAACGTTTGAGCACACAAACGAGAGTTCCGGTGAACGGGAACAAAGACTGAACACTCAGGAAATTTTCAGAGAGCTGAAGGTGTTTTTGAGAGCTAAAATACGCGTATGATTGCTTGTTAACGTGTGTTTGTTGCAAACCACCTACCAGCTATTTATAGGAGAATTTGTTGTGTGTTAACCGAGCTTTAATGGACCTGAACATTGCACATAAATGTCCAGCACGTTGGGCATTAATATGTTGGAAACTGTCCATTTAATGTCCGAGGTATTCTGTTGCGCAACAGAACAACACGCGGCCAGAGAGCCCCTCGAAGTATTCTGGTGCGTACAACAGAACCCCTAGGCCTCTGTTTCATTTCGGACGGCATTCGTGTCCGCAGGTCGCCCGTGCACACGAGTCGCGGTTTTTCTTCTCCGTTTCGGAGATTTGATCGGCACACCCCCGCGCGCGCGAGAGGGTGCCTCTACCTTAAGGAATCTTAACTCCTTAAAAGAGACGTCCCTTTATAAGGAGGTGAAAATCCCCTGAGTTTTCCGGTGTGGTATAAAACACACTAATAACCCATCATTTTCCCAGTTTTTCCATATCAACGAGTGAACTTCGAGAATCAATTTCTCATTCATCCGTTATCCGTTTTGAGTGTACCACATATCGAATTGTAGCCCTTAACAAGGAAAATACAAAACCACTTTGACCCGACCCAAATCAAAAGTGGATCCCACTCAAACAATTGCCCTAAAATGACCATTTAATGCAATTTTTTACACATTTTTCCAACAAAAGTCTTATATGATGTTTTTATTGTTTCACAACTTTTCAATACGATCTACAAAATCTATAATTAAAAGGTCAGCCTGGTCTCATATACCATGATAGTATTTTGCAAAATTTAGACACTTTTTGGTGAAGAAATAAGTAGAATCATTAATACGTGAACATTTGAAATTGGGATTTCATTAAAGAAATCTTTGACACATGAAATTAATCATATAGGATAGGTAGCCATATAGACAAGAAGTTACGTAGAAATTTTATGACAGTTATATACGGAGCTGAGTATGACTTAATTCCAAAGTAAAAAATTGAAACATAATTTTGAGTACTCCCTCCGGTTCTTATTTAAATTCCCAGTTTGACTTCACACATATTAAGAAAATGAATTTGACTTTACTGTGGAGTGCATTGTTTGGCACTGTTTGACACTGTTTGGACACTATTTGGCACTGTTTTGCACTGTTTTGTTTCCTAAAATGGAAGTGTGAACTTAAATAAGGGACATCCCAAAAAAAGAAAGTGAGAACTTTAATAAGAACCAGAACCTGAGGAGGGAGTATATATGCAGATTTTGCCTGTTAGTGATGGAGAGCTGGCAAGCCGTGGTGCGTGGACCGCCATTTGCATGCTTCAATCACTTGACCAATCGCCACGTATTTATGAGCTGCTTCGCTGGTGTAGTGACAAGGACGCAGGCGGGCAGTCCGGGTCGTTGCAAAAATGTCTGACCGGCCGGCAGGGGCAAGAACCCGGGCAGGCAGACAATGACCTTATTCAATGCCCGCATGTAAATGGAGGGCCCCTTGCCTCTCACATGATTGATCTCATTGGTTGGAAGGGTTTGTATCTTCCGGGAAGTGGAGCCCACCTAACGGAGCCTGCTTTCATGGATTACGTGTGGGTCCCGCGCCTGACTCAGCTCCCATCTGGGAGGATCTGAAAATGACAAAACAGCGTGGGGTAACACTCTAAGCAAATTAATGTCCAGTCCAATCATTATTCCAAATTCAAATCTACCGCAGCTCATATGTAACATTTGTATGTCAAGCCCCTCCCCTGTGTTAAGTCCAAATGTTTCATTTTCATCATCCAAATTTATTGTTTGCATATATTGCTATATATTTACAGCTCGTTGGATATACAATCTAATGTTTTTCAATAATTTTTTTTTATTGATGCCACGTTGATGTCACACATGAATTTCCGAGTTTGTAAATGTCACGCTGAATTATCCAAATTGGTGTAAATGTGATCCTTTGAACGATGAAATGTACAAAGTGGGTAAGAAGTACGCTTCACCCCCTCAAAGGACCATATTTACATTAATTTGGACAATTCATGGTGACATTTACAATTTCAAAAATACGGGTCTAACATTTCAATATGATGACTATTTCAAGGACTGCAATTTTTCCTAATTAGACTCTTCAATTATTTTTTTCCCCTTTTCCTATACACATTTTATAATTATTTCATTCACACATGTTAGATATGCTCATTTTAGTATAACATAAAACCAATTTCAACAATGTTTTATAAATAATTAATCACCATATTGAAATGTCAGATATATATTTCTAAGATTGTAAATATGACCCCTCAATTGTCCAAATTGTTGTAAATGTGGTCCTTTAAGGGTCAAATGTACTCCTCGTTCATATTGTACATTTTAACATTCAAAGGAACACGTTTACAATAATTTGAACAATTGAGATGTGATATTTACAAACTCGAGAAAACGGGTCTGACCTTTCAATTTGATGACTATTTCAGGGACTAAAACTGTGATTTTCCCAAGAATCTATTTTTTTTTTCATTTACCCCAGTGCCGCAAAGGCTCCCACCTACGGTGGGGTAAGGGGGGGTCGGATGTACACAGTCTTACCCCTCTACTAAAGCACAGAGAGACTGTTTCCGGATGACCCATGGTGAAAATCCCGTTCAAAATTGCATGGACTGGCCGTTGTTTCATAACAAAGAAGCGCAGACAGTTTAGTAAGCCATTTTGCTTTATTCCATCATAATCTCAAGCCAAAAAATAATGAATTTTTGATTTCATTGCAAATGATGGAAAATTCCCAAGAATCTAATTTCAAGGGAAAATCATACTTTTAGTCTCTGAAATGGTCATCACTTTTGGATCCTTACTCCAAAAGTTTTATAGACCAAGATTATTTGTTCACGATTTTTGTGAAGCAAAAATTCTTGCAGGGAAGTGAGGGAACATATTTGGAAAATGAAGGCATAATGTTTATTACTCCGTATAACACACTTCGTATAAAGTTTTAACCAAATAGCTTGCACAATTCTCTATTATGCAACCATCTTATAACACACTTCGCAAATTTATTTGTATATAAATTAAACGTTATATACAACATAAACTCATATCAACTAATGCACATTATTGTAACACAAGTAAAATGTGCATCTTGGTCCAATGCAAAATGTGCACCTTAAATTTATTAACGCAGATTGTCCCTAAGTAAACAAGGCGCAGATTGTACCTAAGTAAAATGTGCATCTTAAATTTAGATCTTATGCATGTGAAAATTTATAAACTAAACGGCTCGTATGTATCAAACAAAATATCTCACACGTTTACTTTTTAAAGTTTGACAAGCCTCTTTCAAAAAAATGTTTGACAAGTCTAGACGTAATTTGTGAGAATAATGGAATGACTTACCTAATAGGTAGCCCTAAATGTCATATATAATAGAATAACAGTCCAAAATACAATAGGAAACTAACAAAATATATATGGAAACCCTAGTTTAGCTTATTAATACATTATTATACCCCATCGATCTGTGCAGGGGAAACAACTCGCAGATTGTCCCTAAGAAAAATAAACCGTTGAGGAGATAAGCATTTTGTGAAGATATGAGCTAGCTGAATCTGTGTAGGAACATATCGCATGATGAGGTCTCCATGAGAAACACGCTCTCTGACAAAATGATAATCAATGCTGATGTGTTTGCTACGTGCATGCTGAATAGGATTAATGGATAAATATGAAGCAGAAACATTATCACACAGCAACCGAACTGGCGCACAAATAGGTACCCCTAACTCGAACAAAATGGACTTGATGTGTAGTGTATCCTGAACTGTGTAGGCAATGGCCCTGTATTCGACCTTTGTAGATGATCGGGAAACAGTGGACTACTTCTTGGATTTCCAGGAAATCAGGTTAGGACCCAAGAAAATAGCAAAGCCAGGTGTGGACCGGCTACTATCAGGACACCCGACCCAATCAGCATCAGAATAAGCCTGAACAGTAGGAGATGACCGGTCTGGTTGAAGCAGTAGGCCATGATTTGGAGTGCCTTGGAGGTACCTGAAAATGCGCTTAATAGCCAAAATATGTGAAGTACGGGAAGCATGCATAAATTGGGAAACCAGGTGAACAGCAAAAGTAATATCAGGTCGAGTCATGATCAAATACTGTAAAGTACCTACCATACTTCTGTATTCTGTAGGATCTGCAAGAAGTTCACCATCTCACAAGATATATTCTTGGAGGGGAAATTATTCAAATATACAGGGTCAAAAGAAAATTTCAAAATGAAAAATGAAACGGGATTTGAATACCATCTTAAGTTGGTGAACTATTGAAATTAAAATAACTGGTTCCTAGTAACGAGATGGAGAACTTCTAAAGCCGGTTTTTTTTTTTTTTTTTAAGATTACATGCATGTACTTCAGTACTTCGCATTAAAATAAAAGGATTCAATGTACTTTGCCAAAAACCATGGATTCCGACCCCTTGGATACTGGAGAAACTGCTACAACTTTAATTTTCTTATACTCCCTATATTTTTATATAGGTGATGCTATTTTATCCGTGAATATATGATATCATTTAATTTGATTAAGTCATTATTTGTTCATTTATTTATACTTAATCTATTTAATATATTGTCGTATTTAGATTGGTTCATATGTACAAGGTACAACATTTTAAAGATACGATATAATTTGTCATTTACTCCGTATAATCATCTCTCTTCTTTCCTTGTGGATTCACAAACATGGAGCATAAGATGATTCCTTTCTTTGGAGAGTTTGTTTTTGTTCTGATTCAATAGTAATAGATTAATTACATCGCTATTGGTTGTTAATTAATATTAGATTAGAAATGCATTATAGATATTAATTAAGTAGATCATTTCTATAATGCACGTAATTAAATCTGTCTACGAAATTCAAAGTTGTTTTTTGTCCATTGGTATACTTTGATCTTGAGTCTATATTTATTTAATGAAATGCTAACGGGCAACGACGGAAATCCCGAATCAAGGGGCTGGTGGTGACAGGCTGACAGCCCATCATCTTCCTAATTGTGTTCAATATGTTTTTTGAAAACAAATAACTATATTAATTTAAATCGTTCTCCAACAACACGGTAATATTATCAGGTGGTAATCCCACCCAAGTACAATCAATATGTTTTTACTTGAACTGTAATTTGCTAGTCTGGACTGGTCTGTTTTAGTATGGTCTGATCTGGTCTGGTCTATTTTGATCTGGTCTGGTCTAAAATTTCATTTTTTATATGTTTTGCATAAAGATTTTATTATATATATATATATTATAATCCATAAATAATTATATTTTATTCATTTATAATTAAAAATAATAATAGTAATAATAGGAATAATACTAATAATACTAATAATAATAACAATAACAATGATGATGATGATGATGCTGATAATGATGACGATGACGGTGATGACGACGATGACGGTGATGACGACGATGACGACGATGATGATGATAATGATGATGATGATGATGATGATGATGATGATGATGATGATAATATATGGTCTGGTCTGAAATTTTATTTTTTATATTTTTTGCATAAAGATTTTATTTTATATATATATTATAATCCATAAATAATTATATTTTATTCATTTATAACTAAAAATAATAATAGTAATAATACTAATAATAATAACAATAACAATGATAATGATGATGACGACGACGACGATGATGATGATGATGATGGTGGTGATGATGATGATGATGATGATGCTGATGCTGATGCTGCTGATGATGATGATGATGATGATGATGATGATGATGATGATGATGATAATAATAATAATAATAATAAATATGTTCTGGTCTGGGACGAATTACAGTCCAAGTAAAAACAACCTCAGACTCTGAAATAGCTTGCCTAGCCGATGCATGGGCAACCCTATTCGTTGGTCACTTCACAAAGTGGGCATTTACATTAACAAATCTTGCCATAATGTCTCATTTCTGCGTATATACCATCCTCATACGAAATACCATCACAAGATATGATCCTATTGACAACCGAAAGAGCATCTGATTCCACAATAAATTGTCACCATCCTGCCCGGGCCGCCCAATACAAAGCTTCACAAACAACAAGAGCTTCCGTTATACTCACTGCATATCTCCCCTGCTCCCTAATTCTCCTGGCAGCAACAAACCGACCCTCTTCGTCCCGTGCAACCATCCCAAGCCCCCGCCACTCCCCATTCACTTGACCCGCCGCGTCTACATTTATTTTTATTACACCCGCACTCGGCGGTTTCCACCGGTCAACAACGGCTTCCACCCTCCTCGCCTGACAGTTAAGGCGAGCCTCCTGCCATCCAGGGAGCATGGTTTCGCCACAAGCCACGACTCCCCTCCAGGTGGACTTACCATTCCTCCAAACCCTATCATTTCTTGCCTTCCATAAGCTCCAGCATATTGCCACAAATTGGGTAAACTCCGAGCAGGAGCATCTACTGCTAAATGCATCAGCCCATTCCTTGAATGTTGAAGCCCCCGCGTGGACAAACACATTGCTTTGACTACGCCATACTTCTTTTACTAAAGGGCAGTCGCACAAAGCATGCAAGATACTCTCTCTTTCCACGCCACACGTACTGCACATTGGCCAAACCGGTACCCGACACTGCAACAATCTCTCCTTAGATAGAAGGCCGTCCGTACACACTTACCAAAAGAAAGCCTTCATTTTTTGTGGTATTTCCAGCTTCCAAACACGAGTCCAAGTCCGAGTATCCAAGTCTCCTTTTGATAGCATTTTATAGCAGCTTCAAACCGAATATCTTCCTTTCTTGTCATCGACCCATATCATTTTGTCCACCCCTCTGAAACCTTTTAACAGAATGGTAGATATATCTTCGCGATCCTCAACATTAAGCAAATCCTTCAATATATCCCACTCCCAGCTGCTGCCATCCATCGTCATTAAGGAGTTTACTGTGATATCTTCTAAACCGCTAACAATCTCCCCAGCCGGTGTCCCCCGTTGTCTTAGGTATCCACTTGTCCTTCCACACTCGAATAGAAGAGCCATCCCCCACTCGGCATAAAACTCCTTCCCGAACTGCAGGGATAGCTGCCACTATGCTCCTCCATATAAGGGAGGGATTACTTCCCGACCTGCCTCCAGCACGCCTCCCTTGGGGAAATACCGAGCCTTCAAAATCTTACTAACAAGTGTTTCCGGTTACTTAATAAGCCTCCAAACTTGTATGGCCCCGCCTGAGCTTCCGAAATCCCATCCCGCCTGAGCTTTTCGGCACACATAAGTCAGACCAATTTCGCCACCTTATGCCTTTTCCTTTAAAAGTATGGCCCCGCCACCAAAAAGCATTCATAACACGTTCAATCTCCTCGCATAAATCAGCCGGTAGAAGGAACACATTCATAGCATATTGTGGCATTGCTTGGAGTACTGTCTTCAACAATATCTCCCTCCTCGCTCTAGATAAGAAACGACTATTCCACCTTTGAATTCTTTGAACAACTTTCTCCTTAATATAGCCGAAAATTTCTTTCTTATTTCGCCCCACCAGTGATGGCAAACCAAGATATTTACCTCCACCTCTATCCTCATTAACTCCAAGAAGGCTACACAAATAGTCTCTATCATCCCACGCTACATTTGCATTAAATCTGACACTCGACTTATCATAATTTACCAGCTGACCGGAACCTCCAGAATATGTATCCAACATCTTTATGAAAGTACAATCCACTTCATTAGCCCTGAAGAAAAGAAATCTGTCATCTGCAAATAAAAGATGGGTTAATGTCGGCACACTTCGAGCTAATCGTATACCCTGTAAGTGTCTATCTGCTCCGCCCTCCCGAATACGGGCACTCAATCCCTCCGCAATTAAAATAAACAAATATGGCGATAATGGATCCCCCTGTCTGATTCCCCGAGTAGGGATAATAGGGCCTACAATCTCATTATTAACCTGAACATTAAACAGAACCGTGGCCACACACTGCAACACCAAATTAATCCACCCGCTATGAAAACCCAACCGCTGCATGACAGCCTCCAGAAACCTCCATTCTACTCTATCATAAGCCTTGCTCATATTAAGTTTCAACGCCATGTACCCTTCTTTGCCTTGAGTTTTCCTCTTTAAAAAGTGTTGAACCTCAAAAGCAATGACAATGTTATCAACAATAGATCTACCCAGTATAAACGCACTTTGCGCTTCTGCTATAATTGGGTCAAGCAGTCTCTTCATACGGTTAGCCATCAGCTTAGCAAATATCTTGTAAGCAACATTACATAGAGCTATCGGTCTCCAATCCCCAATATGTTAAAAATCACCAATTATGTATATATGATGTGATATAAAAGTACAAATAATACGGCCTGCTACTGTCAAAAAGAGAAGATTCAAATTGAAAAAATGCCATTGTCTTAGGTTTAGGTGCATATTAGCATCTTATTGTCTTAAATGTTCACATCAAGAAGTTAAAAAGATTCTGCCTATTCAGTGTTACCAAAGACTCAGGGCCCGTCCTGCTCATTTATGAGCCTATGGGTGGTATGCTATTACGGACTTATATTCAAGACAAACCGTAAACCACATACTTATTTGAAATATGAATTATAATAGAAGTATCCAATGAAGCTCATAAAATAAAGGCGATAATCACTTTATTATTATTTAACTTACATATTTGGACAAAAGTAACAACACGAGTATCAGATATAAAGAAAAAAACATTACAAAAAACATTTCTCATAGAACAATGTGAAGCAAATCATCAATATTCGCTTGATAGACTACCTTCTTTCCACTAATAAATATGACAAACAATAAAATTGCCACATATAACAACACTAAACTTTCTTTTGAAAGGATAAATGAAAAAATATATTACTCTCTCCATCCCGAAAAGGTTCGCCAATTCGACTTTTCTTGGTCAATGGCAATCAACTTTGACTAATAATATTTTTTAATACGATTTTTTTTAATATGAAAATTATATCAAAATGTACCTTATTCAATATATTTTCATAAAAGTATAACATTTATAAATTATATACAAATATAGTAATTAAAATCATTGTCCAAAATTTCTTATCATTGACCAAGAAAAGTCAATATGACGAACCTTTTTGAGACGAAGGTAGTACTACATATTGAATTCATAAGATGAGAATGATTTATTGACCAATGATGGGAGTCTAAAGATTGATGTCTTGAAAGAATGAAGGTTTTCAAAGAGACAAAATGTTTGACCGCTAAGAAGACTCGCGCAAGATCAGAAGACTGCCAATTTGACGTCCTCTAAAATTACTATTAGGAACTCAGATATAGTTTATTGAAATTTGAAAACAAATAAATAATTGGGATGAGATTTGAGAAAGATAGGATTTAAAATAATTATATAAAAGTTTTATGATATAATTAAAATGAATAAAAAGCCTTAAAAGCTAAAGAGATGTGAAGACTGAAGAGGCGTGTCTTTTATTGATGCATCAACAATTGTATTGATTTTAAAAACTACAACCGATCCTACTTAAAATTAATGTATATATTCTTTTTTTAGCTAGACTCTATTTAAGACTTTTTATTTATATTTTAAATTTTCAAATTGTCAACAAAATTAAACATTAATCTAATTAATTGAACTTAAGAATAAAAAAAGAAGCCTACTCAAACTATATATAAAGAAAAAAAAATTGGGCCTATTTTTTCTTCTATTTTTTCGAGCCTAGGGCGGTCTCCCCTCTTGCCCCCCTCCCCCCCCCCCAGAACAGGCCCCGCAAAGACTCTAATTGTCAAACTTGATTTTTTGTCTAAAATATTACACCATGATACACACACAGAGAGAGAGAGAGTAGTGTTCCGGTCAGGAATTCTTGACCGGAACCGCTGTCCGGACGGCAGCGTTTGGCCGCCTCCCGGTGGAATTTTTTGATGAAATTTTTATGACATGTTCTTCTTCAAGTCTAGTTCATCCACAAAAACAATCAGCTAAAAATGTAATCGGGAAGGCCATCAAATAATTTTTGGAATTTAACTGCGCCGGAAAATACATATAAACGCAATTAACTTCCAAAAATTATTTGACGATCAACCTGATTGAGTTTTTAGCTGAATTTTTTGTGGATAAACTAGACTTGATGAAGAACATGACATAAAAATTTCATCGAAAGAGTCGACCAGGAACCGTCCCAAAAGGCGGCGTCTGGAAGGAGGTTCTGGTCTGGAATTCCGGACCTGAACTTCTCTCTCTCTCTCTCTCTCTCTCTCTCTCTCTCTCTCTATATATATATATATATATATATATATATATATATATATATATATATATATATACTATAAAGTAACAGTGTTGCAACCATTATTGGAAGGAAAATTTCCGCCCAAAAAGTAACAAATATGTAAGTAGTTAAGTTGTGAGTTATTAAATGTAAAAGATACTATTATCATTTAAAATTAGGTAGATTCTATGGTACCCATAAGGTACCATACCTTTGTCCACGTGGACCAATGAGAATGTAACAGTTGAATTATTTAAATCTAAATTAAAAATGACAAAGTGGTGTGGTCCAATCAAATGAATGGTAGGTACGGTACCCCATTTTTTAGAAAGGTACCGGAGTTGTCACCTTAAAATTATCATGAACAGCCGATTGAGCATAATATGTTTAGTTACCAAGTTTACCAAATTTGTTTATCATAAATGTATTATTACTTACGTTTCCCACTTTGTTAAAACTTAAAAGTGCCGCCTAAAAAAGAAGATATGAAGCATGTACTTGCCATTTTGAAAATTTGAAATAATTAATTGGTTTAAAATTTTAGCTTAAGATCAAAGAATGTATGTACAAGTTGTCATACTTCTACAGCAATGCAAATAATAATAATAATAACAGTTATAATAACTTTATATAATACAAAGTAACAGTGTCTGTGCAGCAATTGGAGAGGAAAATCCAGCTCAAATTAGAGCCATTATAGGGAATTAATGTCAAATTTATCATATAAAAGGAAAATACATGTATGGTTGTTAAAGTTGTGATATCTATAATTATTAAATTGGAAAAAATCCATTAATCATATGTACCATAAGTATGATATATAGAAAGATGATTTTATATCAATATGGTATGTGCCCTACATGATGGAAATTTTTCTCCACTAACTATTATTTATTCTTACCAAATTAATGACCATCAAATAGTTGCTATTTGGTAGTATACTTGGTCACTTTACCATGTAGCCACGTATGACCCCAAAATATACACATCATAGATGTATAAACAATGTAACAAAATTAGAAAAAATAATTGGCTACAAATACGTTTTTTCATATAGTAATACTAAAATTAGCTATAGATATTCAATAATAATCTTTATATAATATAAAGTAACAGTGTTGCTACAATTTTTTGCTCCAACTTTCCCGCCTAATGCACGTAAAGATAAATGGTAAACAAAGATTTCAATATCATGCATAAAAACAAAATATTAATGTATATACTTATGTACGGCAAACTAAAACACTAAAATAAGGAAATAGAAATTAATTGGAAATAATAATTATAGCATTTCAAAGGGATGGCCAAAAAATCTTACTACAGTAGCTAAGAGTTACCTAATTGTAAGCAAATCATTTATTTAAAAGATGATTATTATAATTAATGTGTACAATGATTGTAACATTCATAGTCCCTTTTAGTTAGTTCTCTTAGACTTTTTCAGTCAATAATGATGAACATATTCTTTGTTAAACATATTATCATACAACAAAGTATAGAAATTTATAAGTTTTTCAAAAATATATTAGTCAAAATGATTGACTAAAATTTATCATCATTGATTAGAAGAGTAAAAAAAACTAGCTAAAAATGACAAAGTTGATATTACAACAATAATAGCCTTCATATGTAGTTTCATACGTATATAATATAGAGTAACAGATTTCCTGCGCTTTTTGAAATCCAAATTACCCACTATAGCGCAAAATTGAAAAAGAGTTGGAGGCAATAAAAATGCTAACCCCTCTCATGCTTGTCAGAAGAGTAAGACCCCGTTTGGTAATACCAAAATAGGTTGAATCGGCTGATTCTGGTGAAACTTATGAAGGCTGATGTGGCAGATTATTCTTATTTATGTAAAAATTATATTTAGATATTTTATTATTAAAAAAAGAAAACATATATGATAAAATAGCTAAAATGACCCTCTACAGTAACTTAAGCCAATACAGCCAGAAAAGTAACTTCAACTTTATCTTTTCTTATTATTATACAATTCAGCCCGCGAAAGCAAAATTTACGTGTTTGTTGAAAATTTTTGTTGATAGACCTGATAAATAAAAAACACACTCACCAAACGGGCCTTAAATGCTGCCAAAATTATTAAATTAATAGAAGACTTTTTCATAAACATGACTAAGAACATCTCCAATGCTACATTGTGCATGGTGCACACGTGGCATGCATGAGAGATAGCCACATATATATTCGCAAATAAATTATCTCTATCCTTATTTGAATGATGTTCTACAAATTTGGTAAGTTTTCTCCACAATGTCAAACATACCGTCTAGATGTTGACATTGTGGTTGACATTGCAGATAAAAACTTACCAAATTGTACAAAATCATTCAAATAAGGAGAGAGATAGTTTATTTGCTAATATTTATGTGGCTACCTCCTATGCCAAATGTGCATCGTGCACATAAAAATATTGGAGATGCTCTAATAGTTATTATAATGTAGTGTAATGGTAACTTAAGTTTAAAAGTTCAACATAAGTTACTATTACATCGTTACCACTTTAGTCACTAATCACATTTTTGTAAATATGTAAGTCATAAATATGTAATTATTTCTTAATAGAAACTGGTCAATTATTTAGTATTAGATGCACTACCTATATGTTATTTTGTGATGATATGCAATCCACCCATGATATATATAAAGAGAGTAGTCATATCTATGTTATATATGCACAATATATAACATGATAATAGCACTCATTTATAGTTTTTCACCTAAAAAGAAGTACAAATTGAAAATATTATAAAAAATACTTCTACACTTTTGGAAGAAAAAAACTGATTAGTTTTTATTTTTTGAAAAATGTGATTAACATTTACTTAATTTTTGCCCAACTGCCAACTCTTACCCCAGCCAACCTATGTCTCACTGCTGCCTCCAACGAGGTAGCGACTACTCTTGGTGAGTGTTGGCTAAACCGAGGTAGCGACTACTCGAGGTAGCGACTACTCCTAGTTTTGTTTGAATATTTTATGTGATATTATTGTTGGGTGTGTTTCGGAAAATAAAGGAAATTAATTAAAATAAATTAATTAAATAAAATGACTAGAGAAAAACAAGAAAGGAGATGAAGCAGAATTAGTCAAAGCTCGTGCAA